CTCCCCTCCCCCCACCTCCAAGCAATTATTACTCCCCAGTTTTTTTTTTTTTACTGTGCTTTGCCATGGGGAAAATGAACTGCGGTACTTATCAGCTCAATGCATACACAAGTGACTGGGACAGAGGACACGTAGGTGTGCGTGCTGTATGTGTGAGCGTGTGCAAGCTCCGGGCATGCGCCGCTGCTTCTGTTTGCGTAGCGGCGAGCTGACCAGCGGCCAGCAATAAGTTACCATTTCCCATTCTCATTAGCTCCGTAACATCGGCGCATTTAAGCACGGCGGGGGCGTGGGGGGGGTGGGTGGGTGGAGAGATACAGAGATAACCGTAAACATGTCACCCAAAAATGTGAAGTTATTTGCATTCATATTGAAAAGAGTCGAATTGATGCAGGGGTCAAACGAGGAAGGTGAGGGTTTATGACCTGTGCATAGCTCTGCTGTCAGCAGCGCTGATCTACCGTGCCGGCCAACACTGTCGGGCTTTAAGCCTGATTATATTATCATGGCTGACAATCAATGTGGATGAATGATTGTTTTTTTTTCCCACAAAGGGTAGTAGAATATAAAGTAGAATGAGTAAAGCCTAATGGAAACACTCATTCTATATAATAAGTTTTAGTGAATTAAACAGAAATCGTGACATCATCTAGTTGAATGATGAATTCATGACGAAGCAACACAAAACATCTCTCTGTGAAAGAATATTTTGTCTGTAAACCTAAATACCTTTTAAACAAGTAGGAACCACGTCTGTTCTTTGGTATTTGACCTGCTAATGCAGTCATTTCGACGGCCCAGCTGCCAACTGCAGCATTAGTTCCCGTCTGGGGACTGTTAGTTTGGTTGGAAGTGTTTCTCCATTTGTGAGACTCTTCATTTCTGGGCATCCTTCCCCCAGCCTGTAACTCAATGTCCCTCTATCACTCCCACGAGGCTGGTTTGTCATAATCATCAGCATTATGCTTCCTCAATGGACCTGATTTACAAGTCTGGACTTGGAATCAGATTTACACCAAGGAGTAAACACTGAGCTCAATTCCTCTCATTGCATTTCATATGGTAAAGAGACTCATATTGAAAATAAACAAACATTTAAAACTATATTTTACACACACAAATGCATGTTTCACTATCAGTGAGGTCTTAAATTGACTTCCATTAATTTCTACAGCTTAACCCTGACCAGTAACCCTGACCCTACAGGTACATACCTAACCCTAAACTAA